TTTTCCGCGAATTTCTCGACAATGAAAAACCACTCAAGTAAACTATAGTCGCTATATTCATAGTTTGGCGGATAGAATTTCGATCTATCAAAAAGCGGAACCATTTCAATATATTGTAGACCAACAATTGAAAAGGTACTATCAACTTTTATAAACAAAACCTTGATTATTCTTTCCTCGCCAATCGAAGGTAAATTACCAGCATCATCGGATAGGGGAAACTTTCCACAACCTAAAGATGGCATTAGTTTGTGTAGGTGGGCCTTGAGTCTCGAGAAAACGGTTTCCGAAATTTTGTTCGCAATAGCTGATGTGCTCTTTTCTGTTGTTGGTTGTGATTTGCTCGATTGGTTCCGATATTTGAGATTCTATCCACCATACTATGAATATAGCGACTATAAAGTAAACCACCACGATGATTGTGTAGAGGGAGAGTCCCCCTATCCGATAGAATTGGTGGCTTATGAAATTGGTGGCTTTTATGGAATTGGTGGCTTATGGAATTGGTGGCTTATGGATTGACGTTGAAGTACGAGAAAATTACGAAAGAAGCCGTTTTCGACATTAGTCCTTGTGAACGCTCAGTGTCAATATCTGTCATAACTGTCCCATGTTCTGTGCAACCCTTATGCACCGTGGTACTCTTATGCGTATAACCGGGAAATATCCGGGAATTTGAAAAGTAACCGGGAAAACCGGGAAAAACCCGGGAATTCGATGGAAGAACCGGGAAAATAAATAAACCATACCATAGGAACAAATTTTAACACCAGAATTTCAGAATTAAATATCAGAACAGAGTCATTCTTTACCAAATAAATTTCTTGCTCTTTTTGCTGCACAATTTTTGTCACTCAGCGAAATTACAATTTGATTTTTGTCGTTTCAATTTCAGATGTTAAGTGCATGGGCCTTTAAAGAAAATATTGGAGATGCTGGACTTTGGAAACAAATATTTGTTGAATCCGAAACTGAACTATTCTTTTACTTGGTTTTAATTGTTCATTATTCAAAATTCTGATGACATGAATTCCAGAATTAACTTGGAATTCTTCTCTGAATTATCTGATTTCATGATTCATCATTTTTGGAATTTGCTTGAAACCCCTTCTAAGAACTTGATTGAAAGCCTTCTTAAAATTCCCTTGAACGGATACTTTGATTCCTTTGAAATTCTTTTCAAAATTTTATTTTAATATATTCAAAACTGCATAAACCTTTCGAAATTTTATTTAGAACCCCCTTGGAGTATTTTAAAGAAATTATTTCTATTTACACTACATTACAAATTAAAGTAAACAAAATTAGCTTCATTGTTTGACCCATGATTTTTATGTTAAATCGTGCACTGAATCCAAAAATGCAGCCAGAAAAATTTCAGTACGAAAAATTGAAATTTCATCTAGAAATGAAATTTTACTTCCTAAAACACAAATATTTCCGGCTGTAATGAAGCTATCAATTATTTGAACGCCAAATAAGAGGGGATTTTTTGTTCGATCAACTGAACATCATTAGTCAGAGAGATTAGTGGCATTGTTGTTAATTAATAGTATGTTTATTTTATTTTTATGTTTTGCATATTTCCAAGAAAATTTGATTTCAGCAAAGATTTTAAGCAAGGTAAATACAAATGTTTGTAATGGTTGTGCCAGCAATACCACTAATCTCACTGAAAATAGTATGTAGTTGATCGAAAGTAAATTTTCTCACTCTTAATGTGGTATTAATATAATCGAAATAGCTTCATTACATCCGGAGATATTTGTATTTTAGTAAACAAGCTTTTATTAAGAGAAAGTAATTTTTTAACTGTATCTAGAAAACTATACCACTAAGATTTTTTTCTGACAACATTTTTGAATTCAGTACACCATTTTACATGAGAAATGACCATCAGCGTACAGAGTTCAAATATGTTGTAAACTAGTGTTATTAGTATTTATCTGCAATACATTTTGTTGGAGCTCTGTGATGAATTTTTCGCACTAGCGTGGAAATAAGAGCTAGAACACTCTTAAAACTCTGTGTCTTGTTGAATTTTCATCATAATTATCTTGGAATTCTTCTTAAAATTCATCTGCTTGTGTTTCTTCACGATCCTCATACAAATCTCCTCAGAATCACGTAGGAATTTTCACAACTCCTTTTAAAATCTTCATAAAATACATAAGAATTTAAACTTGCTTTCTTCTCCACATAAAGCTCTCAAAATTCATCTTACAATTTCTAATTCCGAGTTCTGCAATTCTGCTCAGAACTTCTCCTTCGAAAATTATGTGGGAATCCTCCTCAATATTTGATTAAAATCAACACTTTGAAGACTTTTAAATTTTACTAAATATTCCAGGGTTTGTCCACAAGATTCTATCGATATAATGTGATGTAATGTGTTATAACCCTTAAAATGCTTGCAAGTCTCAGAGCCTTGACAATTATGACTCCACGACTCATAAATGTATTTTTTTTTTTTCAAATCTGTGATCTTGAAAAAATGTCAAAATCTCACATTTTGATTATTTTTTCTCCAAATCTTGCGTGACGAAAATTGTTATTAATCACACATTTTGAAGAAAAGTTCTAGTTTCAAACTGTACAGAATCTTCTTAAATCACATTTTTTATCCTTTCAGTTAATAACCTTTCAGTAATATTTTTCAAGTATTGGTCTATTGGACGTGCGTATTAAATTTCATGAACCATGTTTAGTTTCACGTTGAGTGAGTTCCAACGTCGAAAGTTTTCACATATTTGTTTGTGTTTAACTTTGTACATCAGCGCAAGTACTGAAAGGTTAATATTTATGTTAGTATAGACAACGGAGTGAAGACAAATTTTCTTTATCCGATATCCCTTACAATTTCCTCTAATTTTCATTACTATCAAGTTCATTTTTTCTGAAACATTTGTTTAAATTATATCTCTTATTTTTCACAATTCTGTCTTATAACGTATTCATCCAGATAACATTTGGCCTTGCGACCTTAATTTCTGTTTCTTAATAAATTCTAGAGCTTTGAGACCATAAGATGTATCGAGCATAAAAAGTGATAGAAATTGTTTTTCAATGTATCTCGAAAGATCAATAATTTGTTTCGAATACATTAAGGTTCAATTTACTTTGATGCATTTAAAAAAAAAAAAAATCAAATGCAGTTTTTTTCGACGCATCATTTCAGATTGCAAAAAGCTCGCGTCATTGGGTGTAAATAGCAAAAAGAATAGAATGACGCGAGCTTTTGGCAATCTGAAATGATGCATCGATAAAAAAAACTGCATTTGAATTTTTCGAAAATGCATCAAAGTAAATTGAACCTTAAGTGACTCATAAAGTTGAATTTATACTTTCAGCTTTAAAAAATACTTTCTGTAATTCTGCTTTTACTTTTCCCACATATAACCTCCGAAAATTTACAGTTAGACACGTTTATAAAAATGCGTACAATTTCGTTTTTGGTTGAATATTAACAACCGGGAAGTTTTTAAGATTTGAACCGGAAAAACCGGGAAAAAACCGGGAATTCCGAAATGAAAATTCACTGGCCACCCTGCAGTTAGGAAACACAAAAAAGGGGTCATCTTTTAGTCAGTTACTTTGCATGGAGTTCCAAATATGTTATGTGCAAGTACTTAACACCTTTATTAGGGAAGTCTGTCGCAAAAAAGCCAAGAAAAATCTTAGCCCAAAATCTTGATAGTAATTATATATTTCCTTCTAAGAATCATGAAGATTTTTCGTAATACATCTTCAAAAGTTTGCACAATCTGAGGTCTCAAATTTTATTCCCTGGATCAACTAAAATTTAAGCCAAATGGCTTTTTATCAATCAACACATTTATTATTTTATGCAGACTCTAAAAATGTACCCATTGAGGGATAAATTTCACGAATGATTCCGCAGCAGCCCCACGAAATCTGCGTGTTGGTGATGCAATTCAATTTGATTCGTACATCACTACAGGATCCTGTGCCAGCACACACCATTCTGCCGTAGCCCGTAGCGTTGTTTATCAATGAACGTATTTCGGCCCGGTCCCACTTGTGACTGTATGTGCCAGTGCAAACGCGTGTGAATTTTCAACGGTGAATAAATTGCGTAGGAGAATCGGGACCTCTGCCAGGGGAAAATTACGCTCACGATGAGAATACTACAACTCGCATCCGAATATCAATACTCAATGAGCCGGAAAGTAAAATTACTCGGTACATCAATTCTAAATCAAAAGTTTGCTGCGTTGAGATTTTCTACTTAACATAAAAACCACCCAACGCTTATCGTGTCTAAAAAAGACACGAACAAAAACCTCAAGAGACTTCAAATACACACATCCATTCAACTTTTCCTGTGAATAGTGTCCTTGATCTTCAAATGAATGCAATCAAGGCATCGACGCGCTCCGGTTCTCTATTTTTATCCACTTGTTCTATGCTTCTCAGCTGGTATGAAGCGAAATGCGCGCAAACTCTTACTCGTCTTCTATGCTCTCTTCCTGTGTACGGCTTCTCTTCGCTGTACCCGGTGCCCTTTTTCGTTTGTGACCACTCAACCTCACTGAAATATGCATCAGCCCTTCCTCCAGGCAGACTTTGAACTCGTGTAGTAGCTCCGGTGTACATAAAACCATTCTCCCCTACCACTCATCACTGTTGCGCTGACATTCGAAGGACAGGCGAGAAAATCATAGCGGTAATCGATTGAAAGGCACACCCCTCTACTGGCCACCCTCCGACAATTTCTCATCCGTTTTACCCCCTACCATCAATTCCCTTGTTTAAAGCCGCTCTCACATAACTACAAATACATTTTTGGTGGTCTGGAAATGCTATTCATCCCATGACCAACGTAAGCGTAGTATTTGAATGACCGATCAGAATGTTACTACCCGCCGGATACTAACAATTTCAGAGTAAATCTGGTCCATTGTTTTATCGAGTAATGAAATATTAAACAAATCCCTTAATTAACTTTTTTTTTCTCTAAAATATATCTTTGTCTGCAGGAAAAGTGCTTACACTGAATGAAGGTTCGATGCGGCGAACAGCATCGCTCGATGCACTGTATTTGCGTCCGGCTCCGGCATGGAGTCTACTGACCTCCACCCTGCTACAGCTTGACAAAGCAACCCAAACCGATGAATCGTACTTGGAACGCACACGAGGCAGCACGTGGACACCTAGCCCCGGTGCGGTAGCTGGGTCTTCGGCGGATTCTTCGCCCATCATCACCCGCACCGAGGTGACCACACCGACTGATTTGAAAATGGAAAAGGTGATAAGACAAAGACTGCAACGCACACATCGCGGTGAACACTCTGTTAGTTCCCAGACGCTAAGTCCAAACCATGGTATGTTGAATTTACTTGTAGAACAATCACGTCAAGTTTATCGTTATTCTGATTTGTTTTCGTCCAAATTTCAGCTAAGGCAAGCCCAGTTTCGATACCTCCACGTACCTGTCCACCTGTTCACATGCGACCGATGCGAAACTCAGTAGAAGGATTAAATCAGGAAATAGAAAAGTTGGTTCTTTATACCGGTCAACCACACACCTGTCGATCTGATCTGGAAATGGTAAGCCTCTGTTCGGTTGATTTGTGTGGACACAAGCTACGTCCATCACTCATGATTTACTGCTTACAGTATTCCCGCGGTACACCGGAAGGGCATCGTGCACCACTGGCAGAACTGTTCCATGCTGCTAGTGGAGGATGTGTGACACTGTCGAGTGATACCCGTTCGGTAAACACTCAAACACCGTTGGGTGATACGTTGTCTTCGGACGATGGTAGCCAAAGCACGTCTCCCGACGAGGGGGCAGCCGTATCGAGTGCATCTCCCAGGATCAATAAGTTTTTGGCTCGTGAACCACCAGATGGTTGTGAAAAGGTAGGTCTGATTTGTTTTGCACTTGGTCATACCGTGTACCTATGCTGTAGGTAATTCGCGAACTTCTTTGTTTTTCGTTTGCAAACATTGTAGTAGATAAAGATGTGCTGTAGAATATTAAAATGACTACAAACTTTGCCGAAAACACTCTCCCCTTGGCTAGTTTTTAGACTGGCCGTTGGTGGGCGGGCCTAATCTTATGCTTCATAGTGGAGTGTTGGAGACGGTAGCTTTATGGCCGGCGTTGCTGGCTCATGCCGCGATAAAATGGCGCCATGGGCAAGCAATGGGGATTACTAAGCTTCCCCTCTCTGATGAACCACTGCATGAGAAAACCAAAGATCCAGTCTAGCAGTGATAGTATCACACTTGTTACTCCTTTGTTTGAGAGCCGCGTCGTAGTACGCTTACGTATAGGCACTGACGTTGGTTGCGATACTCGCGGGTTTTGCCGCAAATCACTCTTATTTATTTTTACGCAGATAGATTTATTTGGGTTTGCAAGGGAATTATACTATTGAAATATTTCAGAAAGTGTCCAACGGTGCTACTTCTATTTGCGTGACAAGCTTTCATTGTTGTTTTCATTGAAGTATTACTCAGGGAACAATGTTAAACACCATTTTTGTACATGGTATTGTAACTAATCTTATACGTGCTTCATTTTGATTTGGGATAAATGTTTGAACTATGGCTCGGGATTTCCGCTGTGGCGTGCTTCTATTGTGACATACCCATACGTATTTTTGTGGTGCGACATAGTGGAAACGTGTGATTGTAGTTGGAGCATATCAGGCATAACATTTGATAACGGCTCAAAAGCATTTGTAAACAAACTTTCTAAGACCCTTTACACTCGAACCAAAGTACGCCCACGCAAACCAACAACATCGGATAGGGGCAACTATCACCTTTCCGAAAGTGGTATTGGTTTGCGTGGGCGTACTTTGGTTCGCGTGTCAAGGGCCTTTGAAAGTTTGTTTACAAATGCCTTTGTGTCGTTATCAAATGTTATGCCTGATATACCATATGTAATATAAAAATCCGCTAGGAAACTAACTTCAAAGTGAAGCATTTTAGTCAATTGAAGGTGTCACCTGGGACGAACTAATATATAATAAATATAGGTTATAGTCAAAAACAACTTGAAACACGTTAAATTTTAGATTACATGCACAAGTGCAGGTACTTAATAAAGCATGAGTTATGATTGATTAGGTAAATTAGAGATTTAATTATTTATTAAATTAGACTAATGAGATATCATAATCATCAAACGAACTTAAATAAGAAAATTTAGACAGCCCAATAACATTAAGTAGATTCACAAAAGAGTTAGAATGCGGGGGTCCGCTTAGGGAGGCAACCAACCTTTAAAGCAACTGGCAACTAGTCTTTTCATATATTGTCTGTTTATTTTGATGGTTGCTTTAAAATATCAATTTGGTATATATGTAAAAGGATAAATCAGTGGGAGATGGATTTTCGGTTTCTTTACATTTTGCAGCACAAATCTAGAAGTATGTGTCATTTCCTCAAAACCCCCCAATAACCGACCTCTTCAATTCCTTCCTTTTCCCATGGCGTTCAAGTGGTCCGCATAGACCATTCAGCCATTACCCTTCCTGCAAAATGAAAAAGAAAATGAAAGTCAAAAGTTCTTTAAACACGTTAAATTTTATTTTACAAGCATGGGTTATGATTGTGTAGGTAGATTAGAGATTTCAGTTATTTATTTAATAAGACTAAATAATCGTCAAATGAACTTTAATAAGAAAATTCAGAAAGTCAATAAACATGAGAGATAAGACGCGGGGTCCGCTTAGGGAGGCAACTAGCCTTTAAAGTTGTATAATAAATCTTCCTATTTAGTATATTTGTTAATTACAGGCAATGTCAATAGCGAAAGTTTTAGGAAAGATGTTTTAAATACGTTGATTGGTTTGAAATAAGAATTAGAATTGTTGTGCTTTAGTTTTCAGTAAGCAAATTTTCAAAAATCCAATTGACTGAGTGAATTATTGACAGACACCTTCATTGAAACAGTATTCCTCTCTAACGAAAATTGACAAGTCATTCATCTAACATAGTAGTAGTAGCAGTGTTGCATAATCTAATCATAATTGCTGCAAATAGTGCTGGGATACTGGCAGGGCTGAATTCGGATCAAAACAAACATAACTCTTAACACAAAAATGATCCCCGGAACTAACACTCATCCATTGCACTGGAACTCAAAGAAATAACGTGATTTCAATGGACTAAGGAGGAGGAATAGAATTACTTCGAACAGGATATCAAACAAATTCAGGGCCAATGCATTAGAGACCAGAAATCAACAAGACATCTGTGAGTTATATACTCGGAGAGGTACATATTTGATAAATAATCAGTAAGCCCAGAATTCATAGGTAAGTTCACACAATCGTTATATTAACATGCTTTCCCAATAGATCCCTACTGAAATGTGTTAGCAGTGCCTATTCGACCACCATTGGTTATCTCTTCTGGCGTTCGAGTAGTGGATTTATTGGATAGAGCAGGCCTTGACAAATGAGCCCCAAAAGGGCTGCAGTCTGTAGTCTACAAAAAAAAAAACTAGAGTCGAAATGAAAACACGGTAGATACTTTTTGGAGTATCTGGTACTCAAACCGGAGAAAACCAGTTCAGCCAGACTCTGTGCAGACTGAGCTGTATTAATTTGGTAATTCTCGCGCCACACGAGAAAAGGGCCTATCATTGTTGATCGATTCTCATAATCGTTTTTCTCTTTTGCGAGTAGCCCGAATTTCCCATTCAGTGTGTTGTTTCAGGCGCAAGCTAACATCATCTTCTGTCGAACTGAGGAGCGAGCATAGCGAGAAATTCGTTTATGTTGTTGCCGTGGTAAACCAAAGAGAAAGTCGATGAAGAGAATCGATCATCGAGGATAGGCCCTTTGCAAAGGTTATGCGAGAATTTTGGTTTATACACACTTTTCGTATGGAATGCATGAAGGAGACAACTGGAGCGACAATTGAAGTTTATATTGCTTAATCAGCAATATCGATTATTTAGCTGCTGCCTGAACGGGTGGATGTTTGTTTTTGGTATGAAATTTATGAATGCCTACTTAGACACATTACATGTTACAGACATGTACATTACATTAAAGACACAAAAATACAAATATAGGGGAAATGGATACAATGTCGGCTTAAATGCCCCTAATTTGGGCCCATGCATAAATTCAGCAATCAACTAAATTTTCAAAAGCTGCTATTTATCCATTTATCTAGATGAACGCGTCATTGGGACAGCACTAATGGATATTTTTGGTCGCTATTGAAAATTTAGTCGATTGCTGTATGGCCCAAATTAGGGGCATTTAGGCCGACATTACATCCATTTCTCCTATTGCTTCATTTTCGAAAAGAGTGAATGCTTCCTAGTGATAGAAGTACTCACCCAAAACAAAATATACTTAAGATAGGAATCTAATCTCGGAATGAAGTATTTTATCACAGAAAAGTGTTACTTAAGACGGAAGAAGACAAGATTCATCTTGGGTAAAAAGGTAGCATCATCATAAGATAGAGCGAAATTTTACTTTTAGACTGATCTCGTGGGAAGAATATGATGAGGAGGGTCCGCATAGGAAGGCTTTAGACATGTAGAATAAGTCTCCCCATTTACATTCACATACCTACCTGTTTATATTAAATGATTCATAGCTTGAACTAATGCAGCGGAGTAATTTTTTTTTTATTAATTATTTGATAAATAAGGTCAAAGTCAACGTCAAGAACTTTAGGGTTCATTTTTAGGATAGCTAAAAACTTCACTGTAGATATACTGTCTAAAATCTCTCTATTGTTCGCTTGTTCGATCGACGCTTGAGTATTGTTCAGCGGTTTGGAACCCAAACTACAACAACGGTGCCGAGAGAATTGAATCTGTTCAACGTCGCTTTCTTCGTTTTGCGTTGCGTAGATTGCCTTGGAATGATCCGTTTCGATTACCAAGTTACGGAAGCCGTTGTCAACTTATCGACCTAGAACTTCTCCGGACTAGAAGAGACACAAACAGAGTCCTAACCGTGGCCGATATCCTACAAGGAAGGACAGATTGTGAGGCTATCCTGAGGCAAATTGACCTGAATGTTCAACCCCGACCGCTTCGTAATAACCTTATGCTAAGACTGCCTCTACGTCGCACAAATTATGGAGTGTACGGTGCGATTTGCGGACTGCAGAGAACATTCAACAGAGTTGCATCTGTTTTTGACTTTCATCTCTCCCGTGATGCGCTTCGTCGAAAGTTTTCTTCTGTTTTTCGCCGGCAGGAGTTAAGATATTGACTATAAGATATACGTTTTTTAATGTTTTTACCCTTCTTACAAAGAAGGGTATAGATATCACTTGAAAAACCGACTATCGATCCGAGGCCCGGAGGGCCTAGTGTCATATACCATTCGACTCAGCTCGACGAGATCGGAACATGTCTGTGTGTGTGTGTGTGTGTATGTGTGTGTGTATGTAACGAAATGAATGCGCTCACGTTTCTCAGCAACCGCTCAACCGATTTGGACAAACTCGGCGCCAAATGATAGGTCTTGGGGTTCCATTGAACGCTATTGAACGGTTTTGGAATCGGTGAACCGGTTCCGGAGATATGGCCGGAATAAGATCCGGTGAATATGGGCCTTCACGCTGGATTTAACGGAAAACGTATTAAAACCATCATGCGACACATCAAATTACTACAGAATTCAAAAATAAGATCAATGCAAGTCGTGTTAAGTGTTCCAGACCACATTGGACACACTTGGACATGTTCCGGGTACCCCAGGGAAGTTGCTTGAATATGAATTGAATTAAAACCCATTAAATTACATTAAAATACGATGATAAGGTGATTGGTAGCCTCACCAAATAGACTACACCCGGATATATTCCGGGTACCCCCAGGCAGTGGCGTAGCGTCACTGGATGACACGGGGGTGGGGGGCTTGGTCACTGATAATGACAATAAAATAAATAAACTTGAATAAGTAAGAAGGGTCTGATCAAACCATAGGTGGATAAATTCGGGTTTCTATGTTATGACCATGCTTGAATGTATTTTTTTTTACCATAGTCAGTGTTCGGAAAATCATTCTCAAATCTCATTCATTGAGCATCCCTGCGAGAATACACTCGCGTGCGAATGCGGCAAACAAAATTCACACTTGAGATTCTCATGCATATTCACGCACTCACACTCACAACGCCGAAAAATCATTCCAGCTTTAAACTCATAAAAACCACTCAAACGTCAATTGATATCATGCCTATGCATGTTGTGTTAGTTTTCCAACCCCTGATGCACAAACAATAGCAATAACAATGAATAACGCCAAAATATAAGGCAATGAATTTTTGAACCTGAAAACTCATCGGTGATTTTTGCGATGTTGAATTTTGCAAGGCAAAACTCATAGGCGCATAAACTCATGCATGAGATTTGAGCTTTTGAGTTTTTTCCGAACACTGACATAGTCGATAAGGTTAAAATCATTGGGGCTTCATCCAGCCTGTTGATGTAAAACAACAATAAACCTCTTTTTGAAAATTTTTTAGGCAACCAAAAAATAGAAAAATGTAAAATTGTAAGGGACCTAGGTGTAATCCTAGACTCCAAACTCACTTTTGTAGAACATTATAATACAATCATAACGAAAGCAAATAGTATGTTGGGCTTCATTAAGAGGTTCGGCTATAATTTTCAAGACTCATACACTATTTAATTATTATAACGCTTACGTATGTAAGACCTATTCTGGAATACTGTAATCTAGTATGGAATCCGTACATTGTCATACACGAGGAACGCATAGAATTCGTTCAAAACCAATTCCTTTTATATGCCCTTACCAAATTGAATTGGACCGCATTTCCTCTTCTATCATATGAAGCACGCTGCATGCTCATCAACTTACAAACACTCAATGACTCAAAGAACGCCGCGAATTTGTAGTGCTTTTCTTCATCAATGACATTATTTCACATCGTATAGAATCATCAGAAATTCTTTCACAATTAAACTTCTACACACCCTGTCGGCATCTAAGAACAGTAAAATTATTCTCAGAAAAATCACAGAACAAATTACGCAAAAAATAGCCCCTTCAATCGAATGATGCGACAGTTTAATCTACACTGTGAAGTCATTAGCATCACTATGTCAAAAGAAGAAATTAAAACCCAACTTAGACATAATAGAAATGATGCATAGTATGTAAGTAAAACTTTTTTTTTCTTTATTACCGTGATTTTTAGCCGTAGGCTAGTTCATCACGTTATACAGCAGATGGTCAGGCTAGATCCTGCCTAAAAAATAGGTTTCAATTTGACATGAACGTGACGTATAACCAGCTCTGATCACCCAACGAATGAGACAGACAACATTTTAAAAACTTAATGTATGTAGTCTACTTTGCTTGACGAAATAAATAAATAAATAGGGGAAAAGTTGGCTTCGGCAATACCTTAACCTATTATCGTCAGGGGGTAAACAACGTCATTGAGAGCTCAATTTTGGCATGTGGATACATTGTGTTTCAGAGCAACTATTGGCCAAATTTGAATGCTCTAGGACTTTGTTTACCCCCCTCACGATAATAGGTTAAGGTATTGCCGAAGCCAGCCTTTCCCCTATTGTTAAGATCAATCAAGCGCTTTGGAATTACGAGTACTGCATATAAATGCTTTTGAAAGCTATTTGTCTGACAGAACTCTCCGAACTGTTTTTAATGATTCTGTTTCCAGTCCCGTGGGGAATAACCTTTGAGTGCCCCATGGAAGTGTATTAGGGCCCCTTTTATTTATTATGTATATTAATTACTTGTGACGTGTTTTACGATTTTCCTTGCATTAATCTTTTTGCATCTAAGGATTTAATCGAGTGAATGAGAACGTCTCTGTTGTAAAGTCCGTACTGGACTTTAACTTCTTGACTGTGATATTTCACGGTCGTACGAAGCAATACGTTTTCTTTGCTGGTTAAAGCTGGAATCGACTTTATTGTCTTCACGAATTTATTACAAACTCCTAGCTGGAGACACTTGAAGCACCGATATGAAAAATGCTATGTACACGATCACCAATCAGCGATCGTTGTCCATGCGGGAAAAGGAAAGATAGAAATCCATCGCTGTACACTCGGTAACAGCATGGTTCAATAAATTAGTAATGCGACACTTCTGTTTGTCGCCATAAACGCTGACAGATATTTTACAGGCATTGAACTGAAGGTTCAATGCCGGGTAGAATTATCCTTCTCAGCATGTTCCCACTAGTGTGGTCTGCTGGAAGTGCATAATGGAAAAGCATGGGAAATGACATGTAGGATGCACATGTCACACTGTTGTAATTGATGACTATTGATCACGTTCGGGAGATTTAATATCTTGGTGTGACTATTGATGACAAACTTAAGTTTAATTTTCACTTTTGGCCTTTCATTTTATTTCTGGCAAATGAAACGCAAATATCGAGATGACAGCGCTTGGAGAATAAAATAATGCGTTTGACTTTGAGGGTGTAATAGATTCACTTGCTCAACTTTGATGCTAAACGCCTTACAATGGTTGTCGGTGCAGTAAAGAATTATATATTTGACTATGGTGTTCATTTTTAAAGTAGTTAACGGTTTGCTGCCTCCATATTTGTGTGATCGAATTGAAAGAGCCGGCGCCGGCGGTGTAGTGGTAAGCGTTACTGCTTCCGTGACTCATCCCAATTGGTCGGGGTGCAATCCCAGCCGAGATCAGTGGCATAAAAATCTCTGGTCACGTCTTCCTTCGGAAGGGAAGTAAAGCCGTTGGTCCCGACCCATGTGTGTTGAATGGGTGCGATATCCTACGCAGGTATGGAAGCTGCCTTCCTGCACATTCAATTGCCGTCAATGGATGGCAATCGATGTTCGTTGGTGATTGGCACTAGATTGCGGAACAGAGACCGACGTTATCAAAAAAAAATGAATTGAAAAAGGAAGTGACTTTCATAGATATAATACTAGAAATGCGGCTGAAATAAGAACACAACATTTCTTGACTTGTGCTTCACAAAATTCATTATATTTTCAAGGAATACATGTTTTCAAATCGATGCCTAGACATATCAAACGTTCAGCAACACTTACCGAATTTAAAGAGACACTGCATTTCACACGATAATGATGATGGATTTTTTATATTTGATTGAATATTAAGGTTATGGCCTCCCTTAGCTCAGTCGGTAAAGGCGCAGCTACAAAGCAAGACCATGCTGGAGTTGGCTGGGTTCAATTCCCGGTTCGGTCTAGGAATTTTTCGGGTTGGAAAATTTCTCGACTTCCCTGAGCATAGAAGTATGATTGGACTTGCCACACAATTATACTAATGCAAAAATGGTACAGGCATCGAAAGCTCTCAATTAATAACTGTGGAAGTGCATCAAGAACACTAAGTTGAGAGCACGCAATAAGCTAATATGCGATATGCAATAAGCTTGAAATGCGAAGAAAAAGAAGAAGAAGAAAAAGGTTAGTAGTCTACCAAGGTTTGAACCGCGCGTGCGTATTACAGATATAGAGTACTAATTTTAACATTTGATAACACAAAATTGGGTGGGACCATCATCATCATCATTGTAATTTACGTACGGTTCATTATTTTTCTTTTTGATCTCTCAATTGTATTTGGATTCGATTTTTGCGGTATTTCAAAAATATTTTATTAATATTCCATTGTGCCTCTTAGTTTGTTTTTTAAGACTTTAATATTGAGATTTTTAGCCAGTTGGCTTCTCATAGTGCTCAACTCGGCCGTACCTCTAAAATTTACTACCGTTGTCAATCAATCTGAAACGGTCAAAATCAATTTTTAATCAGGTCATAAACGAAAAAGATTATATTGAGGTATAGAAGCCTAAAATTTTAATATCTATTGCATTAAATTAACAACAAATGTGTACATTACTTAAAATGCTCATTAAGCACCTCCCCCCATAGAGTATCATTGTACTTGTCACACAATATTCAAACCCTTGATGTTGTAGTCAAAATTCATATGAAACAACAGGAACAGTAAGAACGCAACATTTCTTAAAACCATCGTATTTCCAGGTGAACCTCAAGCTAACAGAAGCCGACACCAGTACAAATACGACACACTTCAAGCCGTGTGTTGCTTTCCAGCTGAGACCTTCGCTGGGTTCTGCATTTCAGCCGTTGCAGCCAATACCAACGTTAAAAACCACCCCGGAAGACGACGGCAACACCGAAGTGGAAACCGAGAGTCAGGAAGCTGTATCGGAAACCGGTGAAGTAAACTGAGCTGCAACCATTTCCCATGGTGGCACTAGAAATACACGGTTGCTTCAACCCTTCCCGTCACCTCCTTTGGACTAGAGTGTGTATAACAACCACCTCTGTGCACACTCTTTCGCGATCGGTTGGTACGCGTTATGCGCAAATAAATCGGTAGGTACAACTAAAATGTCGATTCAATATCATTTTGTAAGGTAAAACAATGAAGGCGTTACTCTGTCGATTATCAATAAATTACCAATGAAGGGTGATGAGACCTAAAATTTTTGACATATTTCCCAAATGATTACCATAGATTGCTTCGTACGTTAGAACAAAAACAACAAAAACGATTGTGCTTTGAAATGGGGTTTATTATGACGTGCACATCACCATATTAATTTGAGTTTGGCAAGATAAAGACAAATTTCATATAATTTAAAATGTTTCTTGAGCTAAAGGTTTTTTCCACTAATCAGTGCTGATAATTATAGAGCGTCAATGTGTGTAAATAGTGCATATTAATGAGGCAGAGATATGAGAGAAAAGTTTAGCAGATACAAAAGGAACGCGAAAGGCAACAGTTTTTCAACCAGATTTGAGTGCCATGTTTTGATGGCCGGTTTTGTACTGACGACAAGATAATAATAAACAGACAGATATCAATCAGGAACTGAAGATAAAACATTCAACTTATGTACGATTCACTACACACTATTAAAGTCATGACCATAAGCACCATAGTCCCCTTTCCTATATATTTTTTTCTTTGTGCATTTGCAACTGTTTCGTTTTTATAGTTGAGTCCGTATCTAAAATACTAAAAATGCTGTGTTATTTTTTATTTTTTTTATCTTCAGGACTTTTTTTTTAAATTTGGGATCTAGGTTTCAATTACCTTCTAGAATTATTAAACTTTAAATTTTGGCTCTCTTTTCATTGACTTGTAGATTATTCCTTTAAATAAAATGCATATTTGGGATTTCTGGAACTAAAATGATCTCTTAAATATTTTCCCAAATGACGTTTTCTGCTTAATGGTTCAATTTTATGAATCTATCACGCAAATTTTGTTATGCATACGTTTTGACAATATATCTATAAAACGGCGTGCTATTACGATATTGATGCTGCCAGATACGGAATAAACTACCCTGGCTTATTTTCAGCTTTATGGGACAGATTCTTGGCGACTTGTTCCTATTTTGTTCTATTTTAAATTGATGTGTTTAAATATAATTTGCTGTTCAGTTTTTATTTTGTCCCTGCATCACATTTTTGAGGATTACTGACGTTGAGGCTATGTTTTCATTGGTTTAGGTAGATAGTTGATGAACATATTTACAGACACCATCTAAAAATATTGTTTAAAAAAACTAAGCCTTGTACATCTTAATGCTGAGATTCAAATTAATTTGAACTTCTTGTTTTTTCCGGTTTATTTTTACACGATTAATATTTCTTGTTTACTTTGAGTTTCATGGTATGTATACCTTGGAACAGGCATTAGATTTGCTTTTCACTAGGTCCCGAGCATCATCGCTCAAGGGTGCATACATGATGCGTATTCCACACATAGGAAAATTTTAAAACTCCAGTCAGTTTCCTGTTCCTGTATGGCATCCAAAAGCCGCAGAAAAAGATAGAACGCTTTCGGCTGCTAGAGGAATCGTGGAAAAATAATAATGGAATCATCAGTTTCTTTATCGAAGTTGCATTTTTAAACCTTCCTATCTGGAGAACCTACGTTTGTAACTCAATTTGTACATTGCATGCGCTCAGAGCGGAAATGTTCCGGAACCAGAGAAGGGCCCATCCATGGCTATCAAAAAATCCCGAAAACTCGAATACATTTTGCACAACCATTACTAATAGCGAACAAAAGTATCGATCGAAAAATAACAATAGAATCAAAACGACATACATTATATTTTGATATACAACAATTCTATACACACATGCATAACATTTGACATAACAATTGTAGAATTCTTTCAATAGTAGACAATGTACTAAGCTAACTGCTATATTTCGCTTGTACGAGACGGCAGAGTGGGGCTTAATGGAAATGAAGAAATAACTGTATGATCGTGGTAAAGAATGCATTTTAGCCTTTTTTTTATGAATGGTGACGAATGAGAACAAAGCTGCTTAAACCTAAAAGTTAAGTAATGTCGGTACCAGAAGACAAAGCTTAAATTGACAAACTTGATTTGTGGCACAGGATGACACTGTTATTGAAGACGGTTTCTATAAACAGTCTGAACAGGACCAAGCAAAAGTGACGAAAAATATCTCGATGGCTTTTTTTTTTAATTCGCGTGTGCTGTGTTTTGTGTTTTCAATATTTATGAGTTCCACCGATGTTACATTCCCCCTTATTATAATGATTAAAATCTTTCACAGCAACATGGAAGGAATTCGTGATACAGTTTGTGAGCAACAACCAAACGCAGGAAAATCTGAATAAGATCGTTGAATTATTCCAATATACAACCCAGTATTAAAAATGGGAAGCATTCTATGCTCAAAGCAAGTTAAGAAAAATATTGTTATGCATCAAGAAATTGTCAAAAATTGGGTTCATAACTATTCAAAATAAGAAAATAAAAATCGATAATAGCCCCATGATTCCAAAAAAAAATGGAGAGAAACATATTCAAAACAAATACCGAAGTAGAACTACTTTATTTTTTGACTAAAATAAAATTGCTGCTGAAAAATAATACCTACCCACTAATTCGCTGATAATTATTCCCAAATACTAAATGTACAAATATATTACTTTAAGGGTTTTGTTTACAAAGGAAAAGAAAACATTGACGAAGAAAACGTTGAAAATAACTTTCTTTATATGTAGATCGATAAGTTACAAATAATAATAACCACATAGTAAACAATAAGTATAATCTTTGCCGAAGCGAATGATCCAACAGAAACATTACAGATGTAACTAGAAAAAAAGCACAGTGAGCAAATCAAGATACTTTGCAAACGAGGGAGAAGAACTGTTCTGTTCGGTAGGTGGTACAACATCATCCATTTCAAATGAATAACACAACGTTACCAACGCTCGATCTTGTAGTGAAAACAGGTACATTACAACGCCATATAGTCAGCGGGAAAATGCGAGGAGTTCAGTCCGTATGAACATTTCTAATGAACTACTGAACCCATTTCGATACGTCTTTTACTTTATAGTTTTGCAAAGTACAACGCAACTGTGCTATACTGGACCAGCTGGTATCCATAATTAGCTCTTTCGATTATTATGATCAACATTATTATTATTAGTTTGTAGATAATAACTTTAATTGAATTAAGCGTTTTATGTTCGTTCAGTTATACATTTTTTATATGCATTTTGTTGTGTATTATGAGTAAGGATTTGAAGTAAATCGTTTATTGTGAATTATCCGTTGTTTTATTTTCAGTTTTTATATTACCCTCCATCTGTGGTCTTATCTGATCTCATCTGAGTCTGTGCATAGAGGTATTCCAGAAGATGGTGCGAATAAGTAACCCATTTACTGTCGTTCCCCACTCATATTTTCCGGTTTTGTTTTTAATTTGTTAATCAAGTGGCCTAACTGATCGATGGTTCGATCGATCGGGTTTTATTTTGAGTTACTACAAACAGCTAAGTAGACCAGTTTTAATACAGCAATGTGAAAGGCTGTCATCAATAGAAGCCTTGAGAAATGTTAATCCAACCATATGTATTTACAAAAGATGAAATCGATGAAGAGAATCGATCATTACAGTTGAGCCCAAGAACTATTTAACCCTTTATAACGCAGAGGAAATCAAGCATGGTATCAACTCGTACTACAATAAAAGATTTAGTTCCAATTGTGTAATGAACAATTTTATTTTTGAAAAAATAACTCAAAAATTTTGTATAAAAAAATTTGGTTTTTCTCCACAAAAGTTCAAAGAGGTGGAATTGTTCTGGGTGTATATATGTATGTATGTTTCCAACTTCCACTGTCCGGCAGTGTTTTTATGGAAGAAAAATGTTTGTAATATAATCTATTATTGTCTTATACTGATCCCATTGCAAATAATTTTAGCCCGGAAGTTGAAAGGTGATAGCTCTGTTGAGATTCAGTAACCCATTTCAAGGTGCCTGGTCACTCAAGTCCATTCCGAGGTTACTTTCACTTACAACAAGCCCCGTATACACGTAGTTCCGATATAAAATGTATATTGGTACTGCGTATACACTTCCATCATCAAAACTATTCCTGCTTTGTAGATGGCACGTATTTAGTAGGATTCTTTCTCTATCACTTTTCGATGTTTTTCGTATCTCTTCTAACCGAAGATAGTACCTGAGCTGAGGCAAAAAGTTGAGCACGTTTCGTCGGGACCTTCTGGTCTTAGAGTTACCTCTATGGCTCTACTGCAGACCCAGCAACCCACTTCAGAATGCCTGGATATTCACGTCTATTCTGAGGTCGCTTTCACATGCAATAACATCGTTACAATTACCGTTATCAATTGAGTAATGGCAATGCCAGCACACTTTCAGATTCAAAAACATGATGTTTACAATCCAGTGCGTATTTAGTAATAGTGGAACAGCGTTTTTGATTAACTTATAAATTCCTGCTGATCAATCAAACATTCAAGATTTATCTATAGTTTTGGACTTGATTGATTGAGCCTGTCGGAAGTTTGAGCAGTTTTAGTAAATCTCTTCTTTTTTGAGCATCGTTTTACAAACTGCTATATTTTTAAGAATAAGGAGCCAACTGGCTGAGACTTTGCTCATTTATTATAAAAAACATTGCTCATTTATTTGACCTCCATTTTACTAAAATAGATTCAGTGTGAAAATACGGTCAACTCTCCCTTAAGGCCGGCGCACAATAGATACGTTTTCAGGTTTTATGACAGTTAGCCCATGCATTATCTGTAAAAAAACCCGAAAACGTATCTATTGTGCACCGGCCTTTACTCGACCTGCTCCTCCGCAATCCGGTATGTGGCGTCCAGGAATTTCACGAAATTTCAATCTCGCTTATAAAGGGCTTCGCACTGTCATTTGTATATGCAAAACACAAAGTGTGCTTTATTTCGACCATATCGACGACAAAACCACTGAACGAGCTGCAGGTAATCAACAAAGTGCAACAATCGAAGTAAACTGCTGTTGCTGCTTCGACAGCTGAGATCAAATTTGCCGGCGCCGGTGGTGTAGTGGTAAGCCTGACTGCTTTCTCACACCCCAATGGGCCTGGGTTCAATCCCAACCGAGGTCGGTGGGATTTTTCTGAGGCATAAAAATCTCTGGTCACGTCTTCCTTCGGAAGGGAAGTAAAGCCGTTGGTCCCGACCCATGTGTGTTTGAATGGGTGCGATATCCTACGCAGAGGTGGAAGCTCCCTTCCTGCACATTTGATTGCAGTCAACGGATGGCAATCGATGTCCATCGGTGATTGGCACTAGATTGCGGAACAGAAATCGACGTTAAATAAAGGAAAGAAGAAGAGATCAAATTTATTGGACTTGGTATATTCAGGAAAATTTTAATCTGGGAAATGGAGCATTCTGGGAAAAGTTGCTTTCGGGAAAATAGTAATCCGGAAATGTGATACCACCAGAAAAACATATGTCAGATGAATCATTAGTATAAAAAACAATCAACAGTAACTAGGTTTTTTGCAGTCCACTGACCCCTTAAGGATAAGATTGATTAAATCTACAGCCGGCTATAATTGGTAAATTTCACAAAGCAAATCAGTTATGACAACTGCCATTCGTGGATTCTATGAACCTTGTCCTCCTCCTCCTACTCCTTCTTTTTTTTTTCTTCTTCTTCATTCCTTTATTTAACGTCGGTCTCTGTTCCGCAATCAAGTGCCAATCACCGACGGATATCGATTGCCATCCAATGACAATAGAATAATTATAATTAATATCAGTGCCCAAGTAACCAACAAGCCCGCTAATACGCTTTTTTGCAATATAAGGCTAACTTAGGGCATGCTAAGCTTTATATTAAACACATATTAGGCTTATATAGCAAAAAGGCGAATTAGCGGGCTTTATTTATTTGTTACACGGTTAGAAAAAAGTACCCAAAATTAAGTTCTTTTCACTCATCTCGGCACTATAGTGCAGGAACCCAAAAGTAGGTAAAGCGGGTCAAAGTAATTTTCATTTACTTGTGTGCAGTTTGTATGGAATTTTCCACTAGCTTTTTAACCAAAAGTAAGTTAGTTGTTCCCAACAGTAGGTAAATATGATTATACCCAACGTTGGGTTCCCACACTTTACTACCCCTGTTGGGTGGTTTTGCTCCTCCATTTTTGACAACATTAGAAGGAGAGAATGAGACAAACTAGTCAAAAGTAGGTAAAAGTGAACTGGCCGTTGGGGACTTTTTTCTTACCGTGTATGTTTGCATCAACAGACTAGAAATAGTCCAAATGGTGTGTTGTAAAAAAAATGGGGTCTCCCTTAGCTCAGTCGGTAAAGGGGCAGCTACAAAGCAAGACATTGCTGGAGATGGCTGGGTTCAATTCCTGGTCCGGTCTAGGAATTTTTCGGGTTGGAAAATTTCTCGACTTCCCTGGGCATATTAGTAGTATGATTGGACTTGCCACAAATTATACCAATGCAAAAATGGTACAGGCATCGAAAGCTCTCAATTAATGCATCTAGATAGAACACTAAGTTGAGAGCACGCAATAAGCTAATATGCGATATGCAATAAGCTTGAAATGCGAAGAAGAAGAAGAAGAAGAAGATGTGTTGTAAAAAAAAGAACAGATTATACAGACTACATATACTACAGTTACAAACGAAAATAGCTAGGAAAGCATTGTCATGTTACTAAAAATGTATAAGTCTTAAATTTTACGCTTAACTGTTGGGTGTCAAGCGCCTTCGGTCAGCAAAAAAGGCAGAGAATCTTCGGTGAAGCATATTCCGTGTCAAGTGGAAATCGAACATCGTCGCTACTCGGTTGAGCACTCGCTGCAAGCCGTAAATAGCGCTTCCTAAGCTATAATTAGTTCGAAGGAGTGGAAGTCTCAGCATACGACTGTTGCGTAGTGATCGAGGTTGAACATTAATGTTCACTTTTTGCAGAATTGCTTCGCAGTCGATTCTTCCTTGCTGAGTATCGGCGACGGTTAAGGCTCTGAAAACATCTCTTCGGATACGTAAGGGCTCGACATTGATCAATTGGCAGCGATTCTCGTAGCTTGGAAGACGAAGTGGGTATCTCCAAGGCAGCTTACGGAGCGCGAAGCGAAGAAAACGTCGTTGCACAGATTCAATTCGCTCGGCCCCATTATTGTAGTTCGGGCTCCAGACTGCAGAGCAGTATTCCAACGTAGATCGTACGAGAGAGCAATAGAGCGATTTCAAGCAGTAAATGTCTGTGAAGTTCTTAGTAATCTCGAAAACAAAGCCAAGAGTTCTGGACGCTTTGTCGACGACATACGATATATGGTGTGAGTATGTCAGCTTTGAGTCTAGAAAAACGCCTAAGTCTTTCACGCAATGCACCCGTTCGATAGTCGTGCCTAGTAGTTTGTAGTTGAAAATAATCGGTTGTTTCTGAGAAAGTAATCACTGTACACCAGTCAGCAAAGATGTCAATCTGATTTTGGAGAGAACGGCAGTCGGCGATTGAGCGGATGCCCAGAAAAACTTTCAGGTCGTCTGCAAACGATAATCGTGGCCCTGTGATAACATGGTGACCGTCGTCGAAGTAAAGGAGAAATACCAATGGTCCCAGATGGCTACCCTGAGGTATACCGGACTTTGCGCAGAAGCTTGCTGAGCGACAAGTACCCAAAGTTACTGTCAGTTGGCGCTCCGTGAGGTATGAACGAAACCATATCAAAAGATTTCCACCGATCCCTAGCCTATCAAGCTTAGCGATCGCAATTTCGTGGTTCAGTTTATCGAAGGCTGCCGTAAGATCTGTCCGTTTGGGTCCGAGCAATCAAACTGTCTGTGATGTAAGACGTTAGGCACAGCAGGCAGGGTTACTTCTACTCACTTGCTATAAAAAAAATGTTTTTCGGAATTATGAAATCATGAAATAGTATAATGCTAATTAGTACTTGTAAGTAACAAGAAGAGGTCATGCAGTATATGTTTTACACATAAAATCTGTCAATATTGCTTTCAGTGCGTCACAATCAGCGATTTTACGACTCGTGAGCGCTCACTCTGAGTGAACGCTCACGAATCATAAGATGAGTCAAACACATACATTACACCCTCTTCTTGTTACTTACTAGTACAACATATCATTATAACATCTAATGATTGCATAATTCCGAAAAATATTTTTTTATAGCAAGTGAGTGGAAGCAACCCTGACAGCAGGTTCGTAGTTGTAGAACGTCCAGTTATGAATCCGTATTGATACTTAGATATTGCTTG